AAGAAGCAATTGGAGGTCCGAGATCACTGTGTTCAGTACTTTTGTGCGTGCTTTTGTACTATTACTTATGTGCGTATATTTTGTAGCGAGTTTTTTTGTGCACGTTTATTGATTCGCATTCGTGTCCACGTACTGTAGCACGTATTTTCATGATCTCTTTTGGAATCCAATTTTGACTATGTTCGAGTCCGAATTTGGAAATTTGACATTAGACGGGAATTGTAGCTCGCTAAAATAGCTTTCTAATGCCGCCGGAACCAGTTGATTTGGAGTCCGGATGAGAAAGTTATGCTCGACTTCGTGTACACTACAGAAGATGTTGAGGGATCCTCTCTTCTAATTTGATTTGATTTTCCTAATTGCAACTCTTTTCTTACTCTTTGATCACTTTTGCTTTGTTGACACTTAATTATCAATTTGTACCTATAGAATACTAAATCCACCAATTATAACAGAAATATAAATTAATCCATAAAATAATCCACGTAAACTTAAACGTCGAGTGTTATTTCTAAACTCCACTGTATCTTTTGTATCTAGTGTTTTTGCTATTGTTTGGTTATTCGTATTAAAGTCCTAGTGTTGTATTTCGTGTTTTTAAGAAGGTTGTTGCGAATGCACTTTTGCGCATGTTTTTTTACATGTACATTTGTGCATGTCCATTTGAGCGAGTGTGTTTGTGCATGTTTGTGTATATGTATTAATGTCCTAGGATTGTAGTTTGTGTTTTCACGATCCTTTTTGCGAATGCACTTTTGCGTGAGTACTTTTGTACGTGCTTTTGTACTATTACTTATGTGCGTATATTTTGTAGCGAGTGTTTTTGTGCACGTTTATTGATTCACATTCGTGTCCTCGTACTGTAGCACGTATTTTCATGATCTCTTTTGGAATCCAATTTTGACTATGTTCGAGTCGGAATTTGGAAATTTGACATTAGACAAGAATTGTAGCTCGCTAAAATAGCTTTCTAATGCCGCCGGAACCAGTTGATTTGGAGTCCGGATGAGAAAGTTATGCTCGACTTCGTGGACACTATAGAAGATGTTGAGGGATCCTCTCTTCTAATTTGATTTGATTTTCCTAA